CCCCCCCTGCCCCCCCCTTTCCCCCCCTAAAACAACCCCCCCCCCCCCCCAATCATTTGTCACTGTAGCATAGCTTACGAGCTCCCCTTCTGACACAACAGCATGAAGACAGATTAATAATCAGCGGTCCATGCGGTTAAACACGCTAGCCATGGCAGCTCTACAGAGAGTAGGTAACCCTTCCTAAATATCACTGACGGCTGTCTAACGGTCCTTGCCTTGCTCTTTTGGTGCAGGTTCTGGCATGACTGAGTTGGACGGGCTGATTGGCGCTGAAGAAAAAGTGATTAACAGCAAGAACAAAGTGGATGAAAATGTGGTGAGCCCTCCACCTTTATTTCGTACAGCGAAGCCTGCCGTGGACACTAATTAATAGCGGTGTCTTATTTCCATGTCTCCTTCCTGCTTACAGAATGTCAGTGTATTCATTATCCATATGGTGTGGGGGAGTCAGTTTTCTGACTGTTGTAGGCTCCTAATACTGATTAGCATCAGAAGGGTGGGAGGGTGAGGGAAGGAGAGAGATCTAGATCTTTGGCAGCCTGAGCTGGAGAAGTCTCTGATTTAGTAACTGCTTTCCCAAGCTGAGACCCTTTGATACGCCTTTATTTTAGCTGGGTAACTTGCTGTCTGAATACACCAAATGCTGGTGTGTTCCATCTGTCTTCTTACCTATTATTCGTGGCAAGAAAGGCCTTACCACCTTCTGAAGGTGAGCGACCCAGTAGGTATTAGCTCTACCTATGGTGTAAAGAATTCACTAGGTCGGAGTGGCAGGTGACTTGCCTCAGTTCCCTGGGATTTAAAAAAAAAATAAAAAGTCAACTTTTGAGAGTTTCCTTTCAAAATTGTTTTAAAGCCACAGGTTAGATCTGACACGACAGAAATGCTGTGTGCAAGGCAAGTGCCTAGTTTTTAAATTGGGTCTTAGTTTGAGGTAGTCTGAACATCCAAATGGTTGCAGTACTAACTCAAGTGGCTTTACGAGTTGGAGAACATCCCACACTGTTGAGAGCAGGAGAAAGATGGTAGGTGGTTCTGAGCCTTTGCTAGTATTCCTTAAAGGTCTCTTGTCTGCCTTCGTATTCCTTCTCCCACCTGTTTTGCATGGCTCCTTTCATAAACCGCTTTTGTGACTGTTTTCAGGTAATTGATGAAACCCTTGATGTGAAGGAAATGATTTTCAATGCGGAGCGTGTCGGTGGGCTGGTGGACGAGCCGGTATGTATGTGGCTACCGAGTCTTGCCGAGCGATTGGCGAATTCTTAAAAGTGGATTTTGGTTCCTGCGTGTTACTGAATTCCAGGGGTCTGGTGCCTTGACGCTGCTCTGGGAGGTCACGCAGAGTATAATGCAGTACGGCATTGCTGCATGAAGGTGTAAAGAGTAAACGCCACGTAGCTGCTAACCTGACTCTTTAGTTGCAAAAGTGTTTTGTGGGATAGGAAAGCGGCGTGGGTGAGTGCCTGTCCCGAACGCCTAAGTGGGGAAGCAGTTGTGTGTTCATTATCCTTTTGGTGAAATATTTAGAGGTGAAATATTTACGTTGTCTAGTGTAATCAGTCATGTCTTGTTGCCACAGATGGTTGAAGACCTTCTTGGTGGCCGCCTTTAGGTTTGCGTTTAGCGGTGCATCTCCCGCATCGCTCTTCCTCTACCCGCTCCGTTGTTTTCTTCCCTCCAGGATAATGACAACTCCCTTCGCGATGACTTCAGTTTCAGCAGCAGCGCCCTTATTGGTCTGTTGGTGATTGCTGTTGCCATAGCTACTGTTATAGTCATCAGCTTGGTGATGCTGAGGAAGAGGCAGTATGGGACCATCAGCCATGGAATTGTGGAGGTGAGAAACAACTCCTGCTCCGTAACCGAGGATGAAAATAGTCAGCATTGAATCACATGTCGTGTGTAGGGGGTGAAGATGGCAGTAGCTGCCAAGCCATCAACTGCTCTGCTCCTAGCTAGATGGGATTTAACTCTGTAGATGCCGACATCTTCATCGCTCATGTATTAGTATGCAGGTACCAGTCATCGGCGTGCCATGCCTGGGACCTGTAACTTCCCGGTTGTATTTGCTTATCGGAAGGAATTCAATTAGGCTTCCCTGTCTGGCTCAGGGTAGGACTTAGCAGTAAATGAGCTTTTCAGGCGATATCTTTAGCAGGGGAGTAAGTCAGTCAATCTATAGCAATTTGTCCTCCCAGCTGATGTAACAACTATTAAGACGATCGGCTGAACGCTGAGAAGCAATTCTGTCTTCTTCCGTCTGCTCCCAACACGCACATTTCTAATGACAACGTAATAGAGTCTGGAGAAAGCTGCTTTTCCTCTTTGCCCAGCCGATGCGGGGGAAATTATAACGACCTCTGCAATGAGAGAAGCGGGTCCCAAATTTGTAACGTTAGCGAGCTTATTAGGGATTTGTGGAGGACGTCCCCAAAGAGGTAAGGGCGGGCAAGGAGGCATTAGCACCCGAACGAGGAACTCTGTTACGCCAATTATTTTTTGTGGCTTACCTTTTTTCCTGTTTACTGCTTATCGCGGTATTTATCCAGCGTTTGTCTGTCGGCTCTCGTTACTATGAAATAAGGCCTGCAAGTACCTCCTTTGACCAGCAACCCTCTGGTCTTTCTACAGGTTGACCCGATGCTTACCCCAGAAGAGCGGCATCTGAGCAAGATGCAAAACCATGGCTACGAGAACCCCACTTACAAATACCTGGAGCAGATGCAGATATAAAAGAGATGAAGATACAACAGCCCTGACCGGGAAAGGAGCAGGGCGGAGGGCCAAAGTGGTCCAGCGTTTTGGATCAACTACTGACCAACAGTTGCTTCGAGAGGACTTCATCTTACATTCAGAACTCCTGGATCATTAAGACTATAATTACTACTGTAGAGTTGCAATTTCCATTCTTTTAAATGGGTGAAGAAATGATAATATAACAATATGATATATAAATCTCCTTAAACGGGAAAAATGGATCTATTGCAGATATTTGACTGAGATGTAGTTTTCTTTTTTTTTTTTTAAATAATCTGAAAAATACCGGTTCCGTTGTACTGTTGTCTGATACAAGCTCTATATATATATAAAATGGGAAATGTTGATTTTTATTTCTGATAGACCACCTGTATATTGAGGGTCATTTGTACCAGCCCACCTTGTAAAAAGGAGACAGTTGTGGCTCTTCAGTCATTTTGGCTTTTATATATAAAGCAGTGTTCTTTTTTCCTTTTTTTTTTTTTTTTTTTTTTTTTTAAAGGGGTTTTTCGTGGGGAGCGCACAGAATTTTTTTTGGGGGTGAGAAATGTCCAGTATGTTCCTTTTCCAATCTATTAAAAAAAAAAAAAAAAAAAAAAAAAAAAACCTTAAAAAGGGAAAAAAAAAAAGAAAAAAAAAAAAAAAAAAAAAAAAAAGAGAAAACCCATCCTCATATGCCAGTGATGTGCACCCTGCTGCTTAGCAGTTTGGGCTCTAGGAATCAAGACTCCCTGGAGGCAAGGAGTTAAAAGGCTTCTAGCATCTCTGTTTATAGTTATTCTAGTGGAATGTTAGAACATGGTTTGTGCATACTGGGGTCTGCACATTCCCCTTCCAGATTCAGTTCTGCTCTAGAGTTGGAAGTTCCTGGTATCGAATTTAAATCCTCCATTCTGAACCAGTTTCCTTCAGTACTCACCTGGCATTAACAGCCCCCTCTCGCTACTACTTTCTAATTTTCCCCAGCTCTCCCGCCTCACCAACATGGTAAGTAGTTAAGAGACGCAGGGTTCTGAGCCTTGGCATCTCTTTCGGCGATGTTGGGCCATAGGCACGGCTTTGGGTGTTTGCCCAGAAATGACAAATCACTGCAATAATCAGTACCTTGGGAGCTGACGAACGTGGCGTTTGCTCTAAGTGGGGTTAAAACAGCAGCTCGCTTAACTGGGGTTAAGAGAGGGGTAAGTTGGGAAAGGGATACTGCCTGCTTTAAGGGAAATTGGATGCGTAGGCCCCGAGAAGAACAAAAGGGGTATTGTTCCACTCACCATCATGTCTTTGTAATGCTTGTATAGTTGGTGTTAATGCTCACGGCTTTTTTAAATCTGGAGGTTCTGGTAACCTGTGGTGTATTTTTTCTATTTTTCCTGTGACTTTATTTTTTCTTCCCCCTTCCGTGTCTCTTCCCACTATGCACAGATTTACCTGCAAACTCCTTAGTGTGGTCTGTGGGGAATGTACAAAGTTTAAACACATCAATAAACACTTTAACTTCCAGATCGTTTCTTCTCTTTATTCACGGGCTCGCTTCAGTTTCTCTCTCTTCCCACCGTGTCCTTGCCAAACCTGCGGAGACCTTTCCCCACCTTTTTGTCCGCCTCTGCTTCCGCGACCGTCATCGAAGGAACGTGCTGAGGTTGAGTACGTGTAGCCGTGCCCAAAGTCTGTTGTGGTGCTTCCAGATCCTGCTGACCTTTGCGGAGAGGAGGAGGCACGATACTAAACCAACGCCCGGGACTCCTCAATGATGTTACGTCCTGACGCTGCAGCCGTTAGACGCTGGAGCGCAGGTCAGTTAGAGCTTTGTGGCTGCTGTTCGTCATCTGGCTGGCTGTGGAAGACCTCACGAATGGTTCTGCGGCGGTAAAAATGCCAGAACCGCTCCCCAGATGAAGGCGGCCGCTGGCACGGCTTCTCAGAGCGAGCAGAGCCAAAGCGCTCTGCAAAAGCAAGCTGTTCCTGCCGCTCGGCCGTCCACCTGCACTTCCTAGCGAGCTGTAGGAACAGAGCCGGGCGGTGGGGAAGCGGATTTGGGTAGCACAGAGCCCGTATTGCCCGCAAGCCGTAGAAACAGGGTTGGACAGGAGAAAGGGATGCAGGAAATACTCAAATTCATAGATAAGAGGGCATAGAAAAAGACAGGCCTCTACCAGTGACACGGTTTCCTTGAATGCTTCCTGTCGTGGATGGCCAGATCTGAAATACTTTGAAGACGTAAAGGCCCCGGGGCAGTAATTGGCTAACTATAGTTAGCATTTACTGTATCGCTTCTAATGTTTTTGTTTTAGGAAGGGAAATAACTTGACTGTTTGGTTTAACTTTCTCTTCCAGAACGCGTAAAACTAACAGCCTGTAAAGCACACAGCTGTCTCTGCTCCTGCATGCCATTCCTCTTGTATTTCCCTTCTTTGAAGTGTGACCTCGAACGCAAATTCCTCCTCTCTCACGTCTCGGTGAAATGACCGAAGAGTCGTTGCCATTTGAACGCTGTTTTGGGAGGCCACGAGGCAGAATTAATCTTCCTTCGCGTTGATCTGCGCAGTTCCCGATACGTCTGAACGAAGAGGGGGAGAGGAGGTAGGAGGAAACACGAAAGCTTAGCGATTTTGAATAGGAAACAATCGTGTGTCCTGTTTCTCCCTAAACGTGGGCTCCTTGGTTCCGCTGGGACTTCCATGGTCTGGTTAAATTATTCAGACTCTGCAGGAAAGAACAGATGCTGTCCTAGAAAATGCCGTCTGTTGGCTTGTCACAACTACTTGGGAAAGTAAATTTCGTTTCAATGATGCTGGAGCAAATCTTCAGTCCAAAGCTGTTTCTTGGACTGCACCCTCGGGTTGGGTGACCTGAAAGAGAAATTACAGAGGCTGCGGGTCGAATTCCAGAATTGAATTTGGGCATTAGATTTTTGCTTCGATAAATTCTATTAGTCCTACAAAATAAATACGTCAGGCTGGAATCAAAGTCTATTAGGTACATGCTTTGGCACAGACTGCCAAGTGCTCAGGATCGATTCTTTATGATGGATTTTGACTGCAGCTTCTGAAAAGTAATGTTTAAAAATATTCACTCGGAGATCGGTGCTAAGACACGTCCCAGATGTTACTGGTACCAGCCGTGCAAATGAAGGGCTGACCTGCCAGCAAAGAGGCCGCAGGGCAGCTGGGGGCAACGTCAGAAGTGTCATCGCGATAAGACTCTTAAAACGAGGTGATCCGAAGCACAGTGGAGTAGCTGGTTGGTAAAAGACTTGCAGAGTGCCGTGGAGAGCTGCGTTTCAGAAGGAAACGGTGATTTTAAAAAAAAAAAGTAGGTCTCTGTTTACCTTTAAGAGGAGCAGCGTAGTTCTCGGTGAAGGAAAAAGGACGTTTGAGAGAGGGGCCTTTGGGAACGGGGAAGGCTGAGCAGAGGGGGAAGCGCCGGGTCAGTTCGTCTCCTTTCTTCTTGTAAAGCTGTTCGTTAGTATTGCTCCTCCGAGGGCGCGGTGGGTTGACGTACGCTGAAACCGTTCTGTGCGCAGCGCTAGGTGGACGTAACGTGGGCGGATTTATTTTACCAGCCTCGCTTGTCTTCCGTGTGGCAACCAATACTTGGCGAGATGCGTGTGGAGCGTGATTTCTACGTTCAGCTCCGGTCGACGGAAGAGATCGAAGGTGCTCGTGAGGAGAGGAGCCCAAGTACGTGGTGATGTGGTGCCTCTCCCTCTGCTGCTCCATCAAAAGGTAACCTGACGGAGCACGTAACACCTCCTAATCCTTAGCCCTAGGGTGTTTTAGCCCTGAACATCCGTGTTTCTGCAGATCTCAAGGTGTCGTATGTCCATTTGTCGAGCTCTAGTGCAGTGCTTAAAGTCGGTGTCATCACGCGGGAATTTCTTCGGGTGGGTCTCCAGAGCAGTTGCAACTCGGTGTTTGGCATCAGCGCTTTGCTCCGGCTGTATTGCAGCGGCTTTTAGATGTGCACAGCAAGGGACAAACAGCGGTGAGCGGGGAGAAAGCCTGTTTTATAGGACATGGTAACAGGTAACTGGCAAGCAGAGTAATAAAGAGTACGGGAGGCAAAGCGGGGGCAAGTGGAGCTAAATGCTAACGTTGGGTTGTTTGGAAAGTGTGAAAATCTCTCAGTCAAGCCTTTGAAAAAACGGTGGGCTGCTGGAAATGAGCATTGATCTTTAGCGTTGTAGGCATGATGGCAAATGGAGTCGATGTACTCGTCCTGTCTGTGCTGACCCAATGTCCCGCTGCCGGCGAGCACACGCTGCGTGCCGGCTCTGGGCCGTGCTGGCTCTGCAGCAGTTTCTCAGCCCCTGTAAAAAGCTCTTGGTGCTCTCGGGTCTCAGGTCGCGGTGGGACCACGTCCAAATCACCTGGCTGCGATCCTTAGCAACAGCGCGGGATGAAAACCTCGGGGAGCTGTAAGGCAGCAGGCTTAAAAGCTGTTTCTCCGGTGCAAGAAGTCAGGGCAGCCGTAACCCGTGCCGTTCCTTACCAGGCGGTGCCGGATGCCTCTCCCCAAATTCCCCCGTTGATCCCAGCGGGCGCTGGCATCTTTGCTGCAGATGCGGTGAGAAGGCTCTGCTGAGTGCAGAGGCGAGGCATTAACGCGTGTATACGTGGTTCTGCAGGAACGAACACGTTAAAAACGCAAGAGTTTTGCTGTATTTACCAGTGACCCGTGGGGAGCCCGTGCTTTGTTGCAGGAGCACTTAACCTCTGGCCTGTAGGCTCTCCGTGCGGTCTGCCAGGACAGTTTAATGTAGACTCTTTTATTTCAAGCAGCTCTCCTTTCCTGAGAGCAACTTGAGAACAGGCTGCGGGCTGAACGAGTTGGTTGTTAAATAGCATCAGCCGGCCTCTGGATGGCATCTGGGAGGTTCTCCGAGCGGCCGCCCTGCCCGTCGCTCAGGAGCATTGGACCGAAGGTGATGGGAAAGGCTGGAGCTTGAGGGAAGCGGTCCGATTTCCCCAAAAAGTTGCCATGGGGCAAGTGGGAAGGGGTAAAGACCCTGCAATGGCAGAGGTAAGAGGAGGAGGTGATGGAGCACGGTCTGCGAAGCTTAATAGCCTCTTCCAGAATTGCTGGCTCCAACTGGAACAACTTGGGGATATTCCTGCTTTCTGGAGGCTTCCTCATCCTCCCTCCTTACAGCTCCGGGGAGCTGTGGGTCCTACAGCCTGGCAGTGTGTGTTGTGGGAAGGTACGTGACTTAGCAGATTTTCGGTTTGCCATGCCTTAGACTCCCCCAGATGGTCCCTTTGATCTCTGGGTGGGAGAGCAGAAGGGGCAGGGAGAGCCAGTTTTACCTGTGAATCTTCCACCTAGCATCCTCTAAATCCCTGCAGTCTCCATGGCAACGCGAGCCGGTCCAAATCCTTCCTCTGAGCCTGGGCTCGAGGCCACTCCGGAGGCAGAAGCCTCTCGAAGGCTGGCTGCCCAGGACCCGGGAGCTTCTCGCCGTGCTTCCATGCACGGATTTCCCCGGAAGGCACCCTCAGCCCTTCCGCCTCCTCACCTGCCCCCTGCAAACGCTGCGTGGCGGGGAGCCCGTCTCTTCTCCAGCTGGAGACGGCGTGGATGTGCAAACAGCCGGTGGGGCAGCCCCACGGACCGCCTCCGAGTCCGTGCCCGCACGACTGCGGCTTTTCTCCGCCCGGCTGCGTAGCAATAAGTGAAGCACCTGAGGCTTTGAAGGTGTTTGGTCTTTGCTTTGAAACTTCTGCTCACGCCGGCTGCGTGCGTTGCTGCTCCTTCCAGGTGTCTGTGCTCGGAGAGAGGAGAAGGGTGTGATGTTCCCCTGCACTGCCAAGACTGCAGCGTGCCATCGGTTTTACCCGGAGCTGCGGGGTTTCTTTGGTCTGAAGAAGTGGAAGATGCGTTTCCTGCGAGAAAGGAAGCTGCTCATCACGAGAATGAAAGGTACTTGACTTAGCCTATAAGCCACAGTGATTCTACCAGTCTGCGTATAGCTGTAAAGCTGATGGGAGGCGTCTCTGGTGCCGTAGCCTTGAGAAGGTCCTGTTCTTACAGTGCCCGTGCACCCTGAGCGCTTGGCG